CATGGGCCGCATGCGCACCCCACTGAGTCCACATGCGGAAGCCCTCACTCACCCCAGCACCTCGACCTCGGATGGGCCTGTGTTTGGGGGCAGGGCCCTCAGAGGGCTGGCTACCTTAAAATGAGGCCTGGGGTGAGCCCTGATCTAATCTGCGTGTTGTCCTTAGCAGAGGAGGGCACTTGGACACACACCCACCCATTGAGATGCGGGAGAAGGTGCCCTGGGAGAAGCCCAGCCCCGCAGCACCGTGATCCTGGACTTACAGCCTCCAGAACAGTAAGAGAATAAATTTTGTTGTTTAAGGCAGATTCCTGGCATATTCATAAAGAACTGGAACTTCCAGCAACAAGAGTTCGGTTTCTCTTAATCTTTTGAAGCTGAGCAGGACTGTTCCCTTCCCTGGGTCATCAGTTCGTCCCTTTACCGCAGTCCCCACCAGGCCACAAGGGGCTCCGCCTCCCTCTCTCTGTTAGCCGTCCAGCCCCGGTGGCATCTGAATATGCTCATCCCCTAACTGGTGTCTTAGGAAAAATACTCTGTGGGAAGCAGGTTCCCCTGGAAAAGGCTGCACCCCTATGTTCTCCTTGAGGCCCGTCAGAGCACGTCAGCAGGGTCAAGCCCTACGATAAAGGAACCTGGACGACTTCGTTCAGCCCACTGTTTTCTGCACGGAGGTGACCACGGACCCTTGTTCCTGTTCATCACATAACGGCCTATAAACTGAATGTTCCACTGAACACACTTTGAAAATTGTCACCCTGGACCAACTTGACCCTGGTCTCTCTTTTTAAACAAAATAACCCTGGGAGACAAATCTTTTCATTTAGCGGATGCCTAAAATTAAGCCTGGCCAATCGAGAGGTCCGAATTCACTAGTTTTTGTCAAAAATGAGACCCCACATTCAAAACAAGGCCAGTGAGCTCAGTCCTCTCCACAGGGTTGACTCCATCACTTAATTCCTGAAAAAACCTTCTCTGGTTAAGGCAGCAAACTGCAGGCTAGTCCCAGTGGAGCGAGGACTCAGCGCAGAGCGCCCTCTCCTGGAACCCAGGGGTCACGACACACGCTGCGTCCACTCTCTCCTCAGACCCCCGTGAAGACGTGGCCGCAGGAAGGACAGCCAGCGAGAACAGACGCGGGTCGCTGAACAGGACGATCGGCAGCTACTGAGACATCTTCACCGCTTCAGTTCTCCCATGTGTAAGCACCAACCTCTAGGACTTATCTCATTACTACTCCGCAACATCGAGGTTCATTCCGCAGCACCCAGTGGGAGGTAGCTCGTGGCGCGTGGGCCAGCGAGAAGCGTGGAAAGGCCACAGCCACGTGGCTTTCTCTCCCTCCCGTCACATGAAGACGACAGTCTCTGCTGCAGAGCAAACCCAGCCCCACGGACTCTCGTCACCGCTGCAGGCGGAGCGGCCACAAAACCAGCAAGAAAGCTGCACTCGCCCGCCGATGTCCGTGTCAGAAACGTGGACCACGCAGAGGAAAGCACGCGTCTCTGCAGTTTCCTGCATCTTTGTGGTCTGGTTTTTCAGAGTCTCAATTTCTGTGAGCAGCTGCTGCGCCGGATGGCTCACGACCTGTCCTTTCCTTTCGTGTCAGCTAGAAACATGCACGACGGGCGGGGCCGTGAAGGCACCGCTCGCTCAGCTACGAACCCATTCCTGTGACCTCAAGGCTGCCTCTGCTGACGGGCTCTGAGCACCAGCGTCCCTAGGCACTGACCATCCCCACAGCCCGTCTAACCGATCCAGTGACAGAAGAGCATTCTTGACCTTCCTGAGGGGTTCTGTACGTTTAGAGAGGTCAACAGCCCGTGTCGACAAACCAAGTCAACGTCTGGCCTGTAAAGCTTCCCCGGTTGCTCCCTGGAAACGTAAAGAGTCATTGCACTGCCTTGTTTCTCACCAATGGGCTCGAAAGCCTTGGTGGGGGAGAGGAAGAGAGAAGACCCTGGGGTTGGA